CTCATAATAGACGTTATCAGATTCTGCCGGCCTTTAGTTTAGTACTTATTTTTGCACAGCTGAAAAGTGGGTCTGTGTCAAAATATGGGATCCCCAAGTGGGAGTTTTGCTCTTTTGGCTTCCCTTTCAACCAACGTGAAAGCGCTTGCCTCGGCAAAACACACAAACCCGCTTGGATTGTGGCCCCGAGTCGCGAGGCCTCCCGCTCGCGCTTCCCGAACCAAGCATCCGCGAAGACCGCAGGAGTATTCATGATCCTGAAGCGGAGCGGTGTGGCCAGTAGTTCAATACAGTATCTGCAATGTTCACCATACTTCATTATGATTCCAAAAGCCACATTAAGGGACCCCAAGCAAAGGACCCTTCTCATTGCGAGTTCGTTATTTCCCCAGTTGAGCTCGCCATAAACTTGGCAAACTGAATGGTACAGCAAAACAGCATAGTGGCCAGTGATTTCATCATCACTGTATAGTATGGTTGCTTGTCAAGAGGTTCCCCCCCATAATTGAAAAAATATGGAAGGGCCCGTTTGTCCGACTCCTCTGGGGGTTGGGACGGTTGGGATGCATGTTGCAACAAGGAATCAAGCATAGCTCTCATCCAGATTCTCTTTGATTCTACGGGTTCTCCTCTGCAAAGTCGGGCTAGGTCCTCTCCCCCTTTTTCAGAAGGGGTCGTCATGGGGCCCGCGTTTTGTGCATCGGAGAACTTGCACCCCTGAACCACCGGGATCTGAACAGCAGCCCAAGAGTCCTAGGATCCCGAGGAAGAAGGCCACACGTGGATTCATGGATGAACTCGATCTTCCAAGAATTTGACCATCCAAAAAGCCGATTGCTTAGGTTCCCCTGATTCCTTCATACAAATTGATCAGCTCGGCTCCTTAGAGCCGGAGCTCTTTCCACTCTGAGGCGGTTCAGCTTGAAAGATCTCCGTCAATGCTGAGAAGCAGAAGTAATCTTCTCGCAGGAGTGAGCTTTGGCTTCTCTTCATGAGATGAAGTACAGGGAAAAAGGAAAAGACAGAGAGAAACATACACAGAAAGATGGATTGAGTAGGGAGAAATAGCTAGAAGCACTCATTGGACTTCCTCCAGATCAATCAAATAACAGGCCCCGTTTCATCCCAAAGCTTGGAAGACCTGCGGGGCTCATGTCAGTTTTCAGGGGAGTATCAAAAACGGAAGGACAACACGCGGCCAGGGCGGCATGGCATACCCCAGATTCACGTCACTCTGGTTCCTTTCAGGTACTTTGCATCGAAGCTGAAACGAAAATATCCTGCAGCCCATAATCGCTCGTACCCACAAGCTGTTTGCTCAATCCGATTAAATAACATTGAATCGGCACCTGCAAACTGGCCCTTGAATGGTCATCAAACTAGTTGCCTGCCAAATGCAGCTGCGAGAACCCACCGGCAGCTGGCAAAACTGTGGTCCCGCCATGCATTTCCCACCCATAAATCGAAGCTCGGCACAATGAACTCGACGCATAAGTGCATACGCGCGGCAGCGGAGAACCAAATGCTGCGACGCCCTGACCTGCTCATCCGAAAGGAGGTGGGATTTGCAAAGGTCAGAATGGCTGGAGTCCTAACTTTCCATATTGTTTTTGTTCTCCTCTCATCGCCCTGCGAATACCTTGGCACAAAAGGCAGGGTGCTGGGGTGTTGTGTAGTCGATTTCTGGTGGGAAAGGGACGCACACATGCAAAGGGTTCAAGTTCAGCTGGATGCTGTTCATTCAGCGACCATAAACTGAGGATATTCCGATCAATAGCGGCGCCTAAAGTAGCAACAAACCCTAAGCCGCGGCCCTCGGAACAATCACAGCCCTGCGGGAAAACAACAACTCAAGCACGTCATCCCAAGAACACCCAACACAGAGCCACGCGCCCCGATTTTCAGATAGCAACTCGGTCCAAGATCGCATACATCCCAGACTCCCCGTCTCTCTGCTCGCCTGCAGACTAACGCAAACCGAACAAACGCATTGGAGGAATCTCCTTGTGGGGAAACCCCCGAAACCCCCCCAAACAGGGGGGGGTTCATATGAAGGTTGCAAAGTTGCAACTACTTGAGCGCCCAAAACCCATCAACTTTCAAAAAACGCTCCAAAGGTTCTCATATATAGGTCCGATGGTGTTGCCGAAAAATCCCCAGGCCAGGAGCCTGCCGGCGCGCTTTGGATCTGAATTCCGAGCCTAGGCAAAGCCCCAAGAAGGCCCCAGGCCCAGAGATCGGCCGCAGCACCAGATCTGCCAACCAGCGCAGAAGGCTCCCAGCCAGCTGTAGTCCGGCTGCCACCTTCACGACCTGGAGGTCCACTCAACCCAGTTGGACACCCCCCCTTTTTCATCAACTGCGCTTGTTTTTCTTTTTTTTTGGGGGGGGGGGTCAACATGAGTCATACTGCAGCTGGGCGAAATCCATTTCGCACCACTTTGAAGCCATGGTTGAAACCCATTGTCCGCTGGTACCTACAAGAAAATCATTGTTGCAGGGTTTCTCAGGTGGTGCGAAATGGATTTCGTCCATCCACAGGGGGGGGGCGAGTCAACAACAAATCAATGGGACGGAAAAGGAGCACTGGCTTCCCACTTGGTGTTGGCATTTGTTTACTGAAAAGCAGACACCGGGCCCCACTTCTGTTGCTGGCATATGTTCAAGGGAAGTAACAACATTGGAACTAATGGGGGGGGGCACGCTGGACAACAAGCGCGGGTTTGCTGATTCACCTTCGGTGAGGGTGCTGTTGGAGGCCGAGGCAATTGATAAGTCAGCCTTGGCTCGTTGTCTTCCATGTCCATTGGCCGGAAGATGCACATTCCATCACATTCCCTTGTTGCAAAGCACCCTTCAATACAAACCAGCTACACCAGCTGCATAATAGTAGCTTCCACTGAGCAACTGGACGATAACATCTTGTATGGTCCCGAAATTAGGAACAGCTGCTTACCTGACCAACCAACGGCCATGCGGAAAACCCACCTTATCACCTTATTTTGCTTATTTCATGGTTTGATGTCAGCCACCCCAAAAAGAACACAGGGATGCCATTGCGAATGAACAGACGCATGATGTTATCCTGTTGTACAGAAAGATCAGCCTGCAAAGATTCCTCGGATGCACTGAACGACGTGTAAGAACGTTAGACTTGTGCTTTGAGCGCCACCTTATGGTTGGTCGGGGCAATATGCCCAGGCTCAACAAAGTGCAACCACATCACTGTTGGGTCCCTCGCAACCAGCAGATTGCTACCCTTTTCAATGGGGGGGAATTTGCTTGAGCCTCATCAGAGGTTTTGCAGGCTCGAGACCCGAAGCAACACGCCTCCCAAATCTCGGCAATTTCCCTATTTCCCCCCAAATGCCATGCTTTTCCCAGCCAAATTGGCCTCTCCTCCCCCTGGCTTCCTTCATCCACTAGATTCACACTGAGGACATCTGCTCAGACCAAGTGGGTCACACCCGCTTTGTGGATATCGCATAGCAATACACATGAACATTTTGAAACAATAAGGCAATGCAACGAGAAATGGCGCGTAGATCCTCAACAAAGTCCAGAAAAACTCAGGCAAGGATCCTTCCATTTGACTGGCAGGGCGGCGGAGAAACATGATTACGCACTTCGAACATGGTGCTTAAGACACTCTAGCCAGTGTCAACCAGGCGGTGTCCTAAACTGGACAAGGAGCTGGGTGACAACCCTTCATGAAACCAATGTAGGCGGCTTGATCTTCCCTGAGCCAAAGGTCTAGCCTTTTGAACATCTGTTAAGGTCACACCAAAGACAGGCCCTGCATTCCTGATTCCGAGCAGCGCGGGCTAGGCCAAAGCTGCGCAGGAGCCAAGTGCAAAGCCAGCTGCCTGTGCCGAGGCTGGCTTACGTCGAGGTGTGTCGTTGTTTGAGGGTGCCCTTGGGATGGTAAACATATAAAAGCAATAGAAAACCAACAAATAGTGCGTGTCCCGCAATGTTCATTTGTCAAACCTAACTCCTGTTTAAACTTAAGTTCGAGCTGCCTTTGTTCAAACATCCATGTTTGCGGTTCCCCTGCTGCAGGGGTCCATGGTTGGCCAAATGAACCAATGGCCACACCTTCCTGCTCTTCTGTCCTGGATGGGACCCAGCGAACGCGGAAAGTTTCTGGCTGGACAAGTGGGTGCCAGTAGGACAAAACAACGCCTTACCCCGTTTCCCTTCAGTGATCTTTCGGGAACACCAAGCAAAAGCAAATAACGGTACCACAGGACAAGTGAGATTTGGACCAAGCTGGAAGAGATTATTCCAGGCTGTCTTGCAATATGTGAGGTCCAATGTCAAGTGGATCTCCTTTAGGAGATGTGTGAAGAAAACCAAAAGGCAACACCTAAATCATGTGTTTTGTGTGTGTGTGTGTGTGTTGAGGGATATGATTCAAGCGGAAAGCCAAAGCAAACAAGGACAACGCATTCGGCAGGGATCTCATTTTGACAAGCACCCAGCACCCAGGCCAATGTGCCGCACGACCCGTATGTTTCATGGACCCCACAAGCTGGTCATTTACATGTTCTGCCCCTGCGGCCAAGGCGAAGGCGGATCTGAATGTGACTTGTTCTTTTTGTTTGTATGTTGTTCCCACTTTGTGTCGTGTGATGCTTTATCCACTTTCCTTCTGGCATGATTTTTGTGATAATTCACCAATTCTGTTTGGGGTTCTGCCTGGTTGTTTTGTGATAACTCCTACTTTGACAGTCCTTCTTCTTGTAATAATTCCGTTCAGTTGAAATAAGGGTGCCGAAGTAAAAGACCTTCAACACGGTACCGTGGTGATACCTCCACGCAAGCTCGCCCATAGGCAAATAGATATCAGATGGTCCGCGGGTCCATGATGGTGCCAATTGGGCCCAGAGTACCGGGGACGTAGACGGCGTTGCACAGCACAGCCAGCGATGAAACGAAGCGCTCGTCTATGTCGAAGCGGCGGGCCTTGATGCAACCATCTGAGAATGACCAGTGCTTGTCCAACGCGGGGAAAACACGCAGACCCTTTTTGGGTGGTTGTCCAACAAGGCAACAACTGGAAAAGGTGAAGGGGTGAACCACTTGGATGAGACCTGGCGGACTCACATGGTGAAATATATGTTTCACCTGGCTTCGCTGAATGTTTGATGGCCACCGTAGGAGAAAGCAAAGCTTCCACATGCGTTTGCTTCGCAACCTTGGGAACAGCAGATCTGCACACAAGGTGGAACTCCCGCAATGTCGCGTAGTGCAATGTAATGAAACGTAGCGTCATTTAGTAATGTAAAGTTTGTTGCCGAGTCTCCGAGCTATCCGAAGACATTCAGCGACCATGGCCAATGGCCACACACAAAACACACTTCAATACACCAGACGAAGATTCCCAAAAACCGGGAGTCGTACGCTTCAAACCAGCACAAAAATAGGTTCCTCACATTGAGGCATGCCCAGTTTGCCGCTTCACGGCGAGTTGAGGCCTCACACAGCACACAGGAACCCAATTAGCCAAACTTTCTTGCCCAGTGGCCACGCACAACAATACCACCTGCTGTTCATTGATTCATGCTAAAGGGAAACCTTAAAAACAAAAAACGGTTGAAATGCCAGCGTCATCGCGGCACATGGGGCTTCCAAAAGCTGGAAGTTGCCCCGGACCCTCTGAAGATACTACTATTTGCGCTCTAATCCGTGAGACATTGACACGTTGGTCCTTAAGGTTATGATACCATGGACCTTTATAGAGACTTTGTATAATTACTCTTAGGTTGGATAGTTCTGTCAAGGCGAGCGCGTTCCATGTAAACCCTAATCGGGCAAGCTATGTTGGCTCTAGACAGTGTCCTGCAATTTGCTCCAAACAGTTGAACATCAGAAGGTGAGTGACAACTAGGTGCTTGCTTGAAGCACAGTCTCAAACACCCTGAAAAGCTGCGAGCGCAAGACCAAGCATCCAAAGTTCGGCTCCCGGATTTTGATTTCTAGACTCCAAAATGGTTGGTGTCCTTTCGTGTTGGTGTATCCATCCAACAAAATAGGGGGGCCGACCTCGCTTCGCAAGGTATAGGCCCGACCAAAAATATCTCATAAGCGTCCCCCCAGAATTCCAATGGCAAGAATATCCTTTGGTTATTGGTTGAAACAAGAGCATCAAAGCAGTTGATCCGTGGAGACTAAAACCAGCAGCTTCCTTTTGGATTTATAAACTCTCAACATCACCCAGAAAACGGAGGCCTGGGATTGCCTCACGGATGGTGCGATGTCACGGAGGTTTACCTTGACTTTTGGTTGAATCCCCCCATTCAATAACCTCCCCCAACTGGCCATGAATTTGAATGCCACCTCAAAATGGTTGGTGGACATGAATCCCGACCGAAATGATGTCCACTGAAGGGTCCCTCTTCAAATTCACAGCCGTGTGAATATAACTCAGCCCCTCTGTGGGCAGAATGAACATGAGTTGACTGTGCGTCAATGCTGGGGACCCATGCAAATGACAGAAGTTTCATGTTGCGTTCCTTCGAAAGCCACCTTTGTGACAAACGGAATCACATGACTCAAACAAAACAACTGGAAAATCAATTCGGTCAACAAGGCGCTTTTATTAAACAACCCTCAAGTCACAAGTCTGTATACTTCCCCGTCGCTACTTGTTGAGACATCATCCTTTGCCACTCCCTGGGTGGTCAGTGATCTCTCGTGCGACTTCCTTTGCTGTGAGACAGTCTCTTGACTCTAAATGAGACATAGAGATTGCCTGCCATATGCAGATGACACCCGATTAATATGCCCCTCCTCACCTAAGCAACACACATCTGGTGTGCATTTCCAAAGCGATTGCCAAAACTCTTGAAAGGGGGCGCAGTGAACTTCTCAACCGCCAACCCCCAACCCCCTTTTCATTTGCCACACCAAGGCAAATGAAGAAGACTAAACAAAAACAGCTGACCTAGCTTTTGGGTGTGAGTGTCGAGTTTGCCATTTCTGGGTGGTTTAGCGGGAAACCAAAAGGAGAACCATCATGTTTGGGATACTCCCATCTTGATGCAAGCCCAAATAGACTGGGATGCCTCATAAAAAAAGAAACGAACAAAACAAGTGGCTTTCCTTGTTTCCCTGCGAACCAGGCTGAGCAGACCTCGAAAAGCCAGCCATTTTGACCAGCCATACCCCTTTCTCTCGGTTTTTCTTTCTCTCCCAGGTGCGATGGCATAGGGCGTGGCAGCAAAGCTCAGCCACAGTGTCTGGTTCAGCACCGCCAGGACCTGACCCCAAAAACCGGCATTCCGTTCTCCCATCCCACGAGCAAAAGCTCGGTGAGGAGCTTGTGTCGCTTGAATGGAACAGCCATGTCCGAAAGGTTTAAACGTTGAAGGGGCCAGGTTCACACCAAAAACTCGCCATGTAATTATATGTCTTCCCCACTCACGCCCATTCGGACGCTTAAACTTCACAAGTAACCAAGCATAAGCCACTGACAAATCAACAGTATCAGGGTTCCCATTACTCCCCCTTCAAACATCACCCCGCCAGCATGAAGCTCATTTTAAATTGGCCCGACATGTGATGTTTGAAACCACCAAAACGGAGAAAAGGGAACCTGGAAAACTCGGTCCAAGTTTAGTAAGACATCTTCCACATTACAGCTAAATGGTTGTAATTTTACGGGAGACCTCCAAACAACCAACTTGAAGAAACCCTCAAAGTTCTCGCCTTAATAGTTCACGGACCCAGGAGACGGCCACAAAAAAGCAGAGGACACACACAGAATCCTTGGTCAAACTCCCGTGGAAGGCATGACAGGGCTTCAAATGCACATGTTCAAGAACATGCTTTTTGGTCCGGGTCAAACCACAGAGCAGGCAACAACAGGTGGTCTCCTGGGCTCCTTTTGCAAGAGCAAAAATGGATCATGCACTGAGATTCGATCCTTTCGAGGGTCCTCTAAACAAAGCTTCCTAAGTCCGCCGACATTGCTCGGCGTGTCGGACACCTAAGAGAGGATAGAGGATAACCCCCCCCAGACAGAAAGAGAGAGAGAGAGAGAGCGAGCGAGAGCGAGAGCGAGAGCGAAAGAGAGAGAGAGAGAGAGAGGCAGCGACTGGGCAGGGGGGGAGGGCGGAGGCAGAGAAACGAGGGGAGGAGAAAGAGGCATAGCAAGGAGGCAGAGAAAGATAGATACAGAGGCGGGAGAGAGACATAGAGAGGCATAGAGAGGAAGGAGAGAGAGGCATAGAGAGGAAGGAGAGAGAGGCATAGAGAGGAAGGAGAGAGAGGGAAAGAAAGAGAAAGAGAAAGAAAAATAGCAAGAGAAAGGATTGGGAGGATGGGGAGGATGGAGAGGAGAGAGAGACACAGAGAGAGAGGGAGAGAGGACGAGGGAACACACAGGGGAGGAGAAAAGAGAGAGAGAGAGAGAGAGGAAGAAGGAGAAAAGGGAGAGGACAACGTCGGCGGAGTGAGCCGAAGCTCTAAAGTTTAGAGGTGTGATTCACTTGCCATTTCAGGCTTGGTACCTTTTCTGGGGTTGGTTTCAAAGGGAAGCTAAAGGGCAACCATCCATTTTTCTGCTCCCCTAGACAAAACCCCGTGCAGGGCGAGGTGCAATGTACATGCTCAACATGTGCCATCTCCTGGGATCCGGAACGCCCGAGCCCGCGCGGGAGGGGCTCGAGTGGCCCCTAACCAGTGGCATCTGCGCGAAGCTGGAGCCAAATTTGCAGGTGAATGTGTGGCTTCTCAATGGGGTCTTCTTGATTTCTAAGGGCAACCCGTCAAACCTGCCTGCTGATGCGAGAGATGCAGGGAATGAGAATTGGAATGACCTCCAACTGGCGGTTTCCTAGGGGACCAAATACTGGGTTCATTCCATTTACCACATTCCCTATCGCACCGATCGCAAGAACTTGTTGGTTTCAAGGAGAAACAGCTGCTCCGCTCGCTCACAAGTTGTCTGCCTGGATGCGGATCAACCCGAAACGAATCCCCCGAATTTTGGTCAACCCCCTCTGTCTACCCGTGGAATTCACCTGGGAAGCACTCAAAGCATCGACTGTTACTTGGAATTACTACTTGACTTTATTTATATATATATAGATATAGACAGATACTGACAGATATTCGTGCACGCCGAGTCTGACACGGCTGTTGAAATGATCAACGCCGCCGTGTGGATGGTTTAGAAGAGCAATCAAACTAGATTGCGGGTGGCATTTGTTGATTGCTGCTGCGAAATACGAACATGATCTTCAACATGGTCTTTTCTTGGGGCTGCTGGCTGATACTCCCCTCCCAGAATGCGAATGCCATGGCTGTTGCTTGCATGGGAAGAGGAGCCAAAACAAAAAAATCTGGAGACAAATCCATGAGGAAACTTATTTGATACAAGCCATATCTGAGAAACCCTGGCTGATCCTTTTCTCCACGGGCGGCTCACGAGAGTCGATGGAGCGAAGGTCTGCCACAAGCAATCCTCCTGCCATCGGGGCTCGGGGGATGCGAGGTTCAGTCACTGATCGCTTGCGTTGGTACGACCTGCAGCTTCTTCCGCCAATGTTGCTGTCGTAAATAATAATTATCAAAGATACGTTTCTTGGGCACGAACCCCTTGGTGTTCCGTTAAGGTTCCCATTGATGTTGCCCATGGGGCAACCTTGGCGGCATAAACAAAACAAACAACGTACCGAGCCTCAAAAAACCGCACCCCCAATTGGGTTTGTGTTTCTTTTTTACTTTCTTTTTTGGGGGGGATACCCTTTTTGGGGGTGTTTAAAGGGAACTCAAAGGGAAAAGCACCATCTAGGAGTGTCCTCCTACTTTGGCACACACCCATTACCGCTGGTTGGCCGCATGAACTCTGGTGTTTGGGAACTTCCGTGTGACCCACAGGCAAACCGAAATGCTCCAGAAGAGGGCATGGGCAAGTTTGGTCGTTCTCCTGGCTTTTGTTGGAAACTTGGGCTGTGCCATCATGTCCTCCAAACCAACAGTACTATCAAAAGCTTTGTCAGATACTCATGTGTAATTATCCGTGTGTCTGTGTCTCTCTGTGTGTGGTTGAGGGTACGCTTTCTGGTTGTTCAACAACAGGAAACCAAAAGGACAACTACCATGATTGAGTTGAGGCTTCCCCCATATCCATTTTGGGCTTGCGCGTCGGCAAACAACAAAAAATGCAAACGCGCCTCAACTTCCGTCGGTGATGGAACGAAGGAACTTCTTCTTCCTGCGAGCCTCGAGCCTCGCGCGCTCCCAAGGGGCTTTGGCCTGGGGTATGGGTACGGTATGTAGGTTTGTCTCAAAATTAGAGACTCTCCCAGGCTGGATGGTTTCGCCGTTCAACAGACGTGAACTAATTCAAGTGCAGTCTCATCGTGTTTGAGAGGCAGCCATTCTGACAAGCTAGACTTTCCTAAGCCGGGGGAAAACTTGGGGCTCTGGGTGGTTCCTGCTCAAAGAATTGCAGCAAAACACCAACCATTTGTAGGGTTTTTTGGTGCTGATGCGTTCAGAGGGCGCCGTTTGGGATTCATGGCCACCAACTACTTAGGCGTTTCCCCACGCTAATTCATGGCCACCTTACCTACCTTTGCACACAACATAGCATCCAACAGTGAATCACACTGCATTCATCCTACGAGGAACAAACGAGGGCTGGGAAGTGCTGGAATCCATCACGGGGTTGCATTTTTGTTTGAGGGCGATTGCCTTGAAGGCGGGTACCCTTCGTGTAGTGTGCAAAATTGGCGTGTTTAAACAATCCGTACCTGGTTTGAGGCCTGAGAAGATCCCTAGGCTCCCCCGCTGCTTCATCTCCTCGATGTACTCCTTGGGCGGCCGAGCGCCACCCCACTTGATCTCTCCGTAGGTCCCCAGCTCTCGGCCTAAGGGAAGAAGGCGTCGGCGACAGGGCCGGAGGGCGCGATGTCTTTTTCTTGTGTTTTTTTGTTGGCTGTTTTCATGTTTGTGTGTTGGTTTGTTTTTATCTTTGCCCACAGCCACCAAACACCGGGAACCACTATGCCAACATAGCCCATTCCAATACAGAGACACGTTCCACGCCACCCGGCAGAGCGGCCAAAATGATTCTCACAACAGAGTGCTCCGGCAAATCTCTTGCCAACATCTGCAGAAATAATATTGCAACATTGGCATTCGCTTGCCGGAGTTTTGGTGGGCTTGCTTAACGCGCCACCTCTCAGATGGCTTCGGCGACACGAGACGATACTCAGAAGAAAGCGCTCCGGGAAAACTGCGGGAAGACTACGGCGCCGGGACCCGGCGCCAGCGCGCCGGGAAACCCCTGCAACATCAACCCGTGGAACTCTGAGTCTCGGCCTGCAGCAGCACCCTGCCGCTGCTTTAACAGCACCCTGCAACTCTGAGTCTCGGCCCGCGACAGCACCCTGCAACAGAAACTTGTGGAACTCTGCGTCAGCAACGCGCGCCGGAACCCTGCACAGCGCATCTCTGAGCCTTGGCCTGCAACAGCGCTCTACTTGCAGCACCCTGCAACAGCACCAGGACAGAATTCTGAGTCTCACCCACCCCTGCTTAACTTGAAGTTGGATCCCCTATAGTCTGGGGCAACAGTGTTCCAAAATCACAGTGTCGTGCGGAAAGACTGGATTGGACAGAATACGGAGTCATTGTTGCTTTTTGTACGGTGCTTTTACGACTTTTTACGTGTTCAACTACGAAGAACCCATCTTGATCTGCCAGAACCATGTTCTTCGGGGGAAAAGCAACATCTGAAAAACAATATGTTTGGTTCTGAGCCGTTTTTTCCAGGTTTTAGTACCCAAAAAGGTTGATTGTATTGTTTGTGTTGTGTGCGGTGGTGCTTGTCGTTTGTTGTTGTTCTGTTTACGAACCAACATGCAGGGACCTCCTGTTACATAATTTTGAGCCTAGTTTCCAAAAAGAAACGAGCCGTTGCAGATAACACCGATTTCCGCCTGGATGACACCACTGATTGAGAAAGCACCGTTTCCTGTCTCTATTAACACCAGGCCCTACCGCAAGAGCCGGGCATGCGTTCGACCATCAAATCAAACGGGGGGTAGTTTCTTCGCGCCAGCTCTTCTGGTTGGAGAACAAGCCACTCCAAGGAGAAACAATGGTGGAACACCTCCCTGAGGGTAAACTCGATTTTCCCCGAAAGGGTAGGAAGGTGGGGGCAAAAAGGACACCCTCTATATAACGCAAAGACTGCAAGAAGTGTTTGAAGAGCGCCTTGGACTTGGCTAAGAGACCGGAGCAATGCCTGTTCAAAAAGTCAGTTGGCCAAACGGAAATGTCACTTGCGCTCTTTGGTTTCCGTGCTGTGGAAACCTTGCAAAGCATCGCGGAAGAACCAGAGGTGAGTGAGTTTAAAGCGCTGCTCAATCGCGTCGCGCAAACTGCAGCCACCCGCCACTCGCTCCAAGAGACCTCACAAAGGATCAAAGAATCAGTAACCAAGGATCCCATCTTGCGTTTCATGGGTTCACTTTGGTGAAACGTGATAAGTCCAGCAAGTCTTAGAATGCCTGCAATAGGCTTTTGAGACCAAGAACTGGGCGCCGGCTTGAGTTGTTGCAAATCCCGGCAGGACTTCAGATGCTACGACAGTGGAAGGAACCCTTGCAAGATCGCCTAACATGGGGCATATTCTATCATGGGTGTGTCCACTTGGCCAGTGTCCAAAGAGAACACAGGTTCAGGTGATCCCACCATATCCAGGAACGCGACATGCTCCAAGGGAAGTGCCAGCGCCATCTTGCAAAGGATGCCATAATGGCGGGCAAATGCACAATAGTCAAACCAACAAGTGGATGGAAGCAAGTCAGATGCATGCTTAAGCGCCCTTGCGGGCATAGTAACAGTTTGCTTCCATATTGAAAGCTCTCTCTTCCAATCATCGTCTACGCTCAGGGTCGAGCATCCCTACAAACTCTGCGAGGTCTTCTCAGGCTCAAGGCTTCGCAACTGATGAACGCTACCAAGTTAATTCGTGCCTTGGGCACAAGTGTGCCAGGGCCACTTGTTCGTTCGAGTCGGTTTGCAAGCCATCTCCCATCGTCGCGCAAAAGCAGACATTGGTGTGGCAAAAATCTGAGAGTAAGGGAGGCCATGGAATCATTCCATGTTGCCGGTACACATGACAATTCCCGCGGCCGGTGTTCAGGACAAGTGCAAATAAGGATAACACATGAGAAAACGTTGGTGGGACACTGTGTTTCCACCTGATCAGCCTGATCCAGGGTTCTATGTATCGCCCGACCGTCTTGCTCGGACATCTTCAATGTTTACATCGTGCCGGTCCATGCTCGTCCTTTCTCGATGACACAACTTTGGTGGTGGCATGCGTAGACGTTACTCATATTCAGGAAGACTGCGAGAGACCGTGGGAGAACCTGCGCAAAACACAGCGAAATCCACCCACTGGAAGTAGAACTATCTGTACTTCAAGGGCCAACCAGAAAGCCGCAGCAACCCCCTATGGACGTTAATCAAGGCAAGCAAAGCATTCGCCGACCAGCCTGTGCAACTCAAAGGTAAAATTTGGGATTTTCTCAAAATATGGTCCTCTTATTGGATGGCTTTATGGGAAAACTACAAGGAACACCTCCCCAATTTCAGAGAAGCCCCCACTTGCTGCTTGGTGCTTCGCTTATTGGAGCCGCTCTGACCAACCAGGCGGCTGAAGAAGAGCCGCCACAGCTGATACGCGCC